CTTCAACAATGGCTTTCAAAAGGCTCCATATGTAGTCGGAACTGGGATAATCGGAAAAATCAACTGGAATGTCCCCCAAAGTTGGAATCCCCCTCAACAAGTGGGGCAAAATCCAACTACTCACAGTTATGATTTATAAGACCGACTTCGGGTTTCAATATGGCCACTTCTCTCAACAATAGTAAGACATGGTGAGAACATGTTTATCTTACAAGACACACTTGCAAGAGTGCATCTAAAATCAATGCTTCATGTATCGCTTTTAAGTCTAAACTGAACAAATTAAAAATGGGGTTTGCTTATGGAAAGTAAAACTTGAGACAGCATTCATAAGAGGTATTACAAGTAAAGGCTCTGGGATTCACATGTTGAAATCTTGACATTTCAGACTACGCTCATGGTCTGCTGCGTAGGTTTTATTAAGTGGTTTGTTCTTTAATGTTCTCGGGGTATTGTTTTCCTTCCACTTAATCATCTACAACTCTATGCTGGCCTTTCACAAATAATTCTAATGAAGTACACAGAAGTTTGTAGTTGTAAGGAGACAAAACAAGTAGTACTTTACCAGGTCGGTAACACTTTATTTGAAGAAGTGTTCATAAGATTGATATGACACTGTCATAAATATGACATCCTACCTGTCATGAACATGAAGTCTTTATGAATGTTTATGACTATTATCATGAAGTGTCATTTGGTAAATTGTGACACTTTAATGCAAAGTTGGCACTTTTAATTGACTTTTAATACAACTTTTAAAGCAATTTTGCATTAAAAGGGTCATTATTTACTGAATGACACTTCATGACATCAGTCACAAACATTCATAAAGAATTCTTCATGTTCATAACAGGTGTTATGTCATGTTCATGATAGTGTCATGTCAGTCTTATGCACATCCCTTCAAATAAAGTGTTACCTGTGAACAGCATGTATCAAGATAATAAGACCTGATGTATCGCTGCAGGAACAAACAGCTTAATCAAAGCAGATCTAGTGCATTAAGTCTTTAAGACAATGTCTATATTGAGTTGAATAAATATGAGATGCATACTGTTTTGCTAACTGCATGTTCAAGTCTGATTAAACAAAATTAAGCTTTCCATACAGAAAGCAGTGGAGGGTTCATTGGGGCTAAACTGCCCCTTCTCAGAGGACCTACAGAATTGCAATATTTCTGTGCTTAAAACACATTCAATGTACCAGCAGGTGCCAAGCACAATATAATTAAAATTAAAAGTAAAAGATTACTTATCAGACTTTGTTTTTCTGCTGAGAAAAAATTAATATCAACAAATGTCAAATGTTTTGTATTTTTTGTCACTCTGAACTGAAAGTTATATTATATAGCCATACAGCAGAGTGAAATACTTAAAGTCTTTATTTCTGGTAATTTTGATGATGATGGCTTACAGATAAAAACTCATGATCAATCAATGTCTCAGAAAATTAGAATATTGTGATGGAAACTCATAGTAATTAACTTGAAATACTTGCAACTGTTTCCTGAGCCTCTAAGTGGTCTCTCAAGCTGTGTTTCCAAAACAAATGTGCACAAAACTTTGCTGATATTCCGATAATGTAAAAAAAAAAAATAATAATTTCACAATTGCAGTGTTTCCATTAAGAAAAAGTGAAAAAAAACTGTTCAAGCGATGTCCTTAAAAAAACATGTCATACCATCATCCTCCTGTCGTCTTCTTCGTCTTTTCTCCCAGTAGCAACATCCCATTGCTGATCACATGTCTCATGTGATGTGAAAAAAAGTGTTTTCACTGCAGTTTTGCAAAACAGATTAATTTTAATGCAGTCGATAAACCACCTCATCCTAGCACAAAAAGGTTTTATTGAAAAACACAGGTTTTTCCACAATTGGCATGTATCCATTAAGGAAATTTACTTTTGTAATTCCAATTAGTGTAATTTTAAAATCAATGAAAATGGAGCTAATATTTGTGTCAGTCGGACACAATCCTGGGGAAGACTGCTAATTGAACAAATGTTCAGAAAACAGTCATTTAGACTCTCCACAAGGAGGGGAAGGTACAAAAGGTCATTGCTACAGAAGCTCGTTGTTCACAGAGTTGTGGTAGCACACAAGGTAAGGTAAGGTAATTTTATTTATATAGCACATTTTTAGCAACAAGGCATTTCAAAGTGTTTTACATGAATTGAAAGGAAATACAAACAAAATAACAAACCATTGTGTTTTCACAAGAGAAACACGGTGTGGAAAATGTGGATTCATCCCAACTGATGTGGTGATCACAGTATTTGTTAAGAGTTACATAATATATATTTATGGAAATGCTATTTTGTCACCATTTAGCAATAGTGACATAATTTTCTGATATTGTTCAGGCCTCATTGAAGTGTGTATTCACACTAAGAAAGTTCTTTGGTCAACTTGTTTGGTCCGGACCAAAAGAGGACTTTTTTTTCCATTTGGTGCGGTTTCTTTTACATTGTTTTCTTTTTTACATTTTACATGTAAAAAATGTACAACTACAATTTGTAATAGTTGTACATTATAATTTGTAATGTGCTTTACTACAATTTGTAAGTAAATCCACGTGGATGACGATCATTACTCCCAGTGGGCAGAAATTAAAAACAAAGTTTGGAAGTCCTGCTTGCTGCATTTGTCTGGGCACATTTATACTATTATTACAACGGCAACACCATTTGGGATGTCACGACCAGCTCATAAAACTCAATGTGATATTTAAATTTTGTAACGGCATCTGCAAATGCTGAATGAGATGCGACACTCTGCATGTCTTAACCCACAACATGCTACTAACATCTCTAAGCAGAAGGCATCAAATCAAGTACAATTTCAGTGCAATCAGTACATGTAGCAATAGCATTAGCAATACTGAATGCCACATTTTAATTATAATGCCAAGCAACGGTAACTCAAAGTTCAGAAAGATGTGCAGTTACTTTAGTTGGTCTGGATCGATGCCAGACTATATTCACACCAGAGGTGAACCGTACCAGAGTGAACATAACGTCTGGACCAATGGGACCAACTCTCTCGTTATGTCTGGTCTGACAACTTAAGCATGTTAAGTCTGTAGGCATTAGGGCTGTATGATATGGCTGAAAAATGTATCATGATAAAAGCATTCAATAACAGTCGATATCAATACAAATTGATTAGCTTTTTTATTTCAAGTAACTGAAATACTGCCAAATTGGTGACATGACTCTTCTTGTTTTATTCAGTTTTCATTCCATGCTGTTGTTTTTTATTTTTAAGTAGTCATGAGGCACGATGGCAAAACCAGATAGTGCTGCTGCACCAGTTACTCAATAGGTTGTTGCTAGGCCACCAGTGAGTTAGTTGATGCTAGCTGTGAGACGTTGAGCAGCTAAAGCCTACATCTCCCAGAATACTGTGCAGTTCTCGATCAGAGTTCAGTGAAGTTAGTGAAAATTCTAACACGTCTTTTCTCTTTACATTTATCAATAAAAAATATGCACTATATACTGTACCGTTAATGATTTATTGCCCTGACCTGGTAGGTGTAATTTCAATCTGTATGAAATAAATAAAATGTTGACAGTAAATTCACACTTGCAAGTCAAATCAATTTGAGGAAGACCCAAATTGTAATATTTTCATTCATGCCCATGATGAATCCATGTAAGCATGCTAACAGGTCGGTTCATGTAAATGGAAAATCAACTGGGTTGAAGGTTTCAGATAAATGACCTCAACGAAACTCATAATCAAGCTAATACCACTGGGAGTCACTGATTTAGCTTTCAAGGATGACGTGACTCTGTGAGTCTTTCAAGAGAACTGAAACTGAGTCACTATGAAGATTATCCCCCATCTCCTGATCGAGAAGTTCAGCAGACAAGTCAATGCTAAGCGCCACAAGCACAGCTGACAATGCCGCAGTGTATTTATACAGGTCAAGCGAGAATGTCCAAGTGTGAACAGAAAGTCCAGAGTGAGCCGTCTACACATCCTACAGATCTAGGACAGTTCTGCTCCAACATACAGTATCAGACAACAACGGGTTAGTCAGGAGGAAAATGCACTCAAATTTCTTACATCGCCGCTCATGTTTTACAATGTTTTTGTGTCGCCTTTTCGTAGTGGTGTTAGAAAAACAAGTAGAGGTGAAAACTATTTTCACACATTATCAGTTTATGGGTCTAAACAGTGTGCCTTTTTCTTCACCTCATTAAGTCAGATTAATAAAAACCTGACAAATTCACACAACGCTAAACCGGCAGTCAGCCAGTGAAGTCTGTCTGCTGCAGCTACTGACTGAGTTTGTCGCTGTGGTGCAAAAAAATCGAATTAAAGTGAGTAAAATGTGCAATATCAATATGTCTAATAGCTCAGCCCAGAATAAAATACAGAGGTTCTGCATGTGACAGTGCTCTTGAAGACTTCTGAAAATTCATTAACCAGTTCCTTTTGAAAGAAACATCTGCTTAATGGGGATCTGCAGCAAGCCTATTAGGGCGATGCAAAAGACTGCAATCCCATTTTGGCAATCTGCGTCGTTTAGCACTGAAAGGCACGCTGGATGTCTGTGACGGCAGCGAGCTCCCAGCTTGCCCTGCTCTTTATTCCCCTCCCAGCTCCGTAGGAAACAGCTGAAAGCAATTCCTTGCTCTGCGTGAGGATGAAGTGTCCCTGCTCTTGATCTCTGATGTGTATACTGTGTTGGCTAAAGCAAACAGACAAACACACACACACTCAATATCTCTCTGGCTGCACTGGGAACTTGGATCTGCTGCATAGGAGATTCCTCCTGCATTACGTCAGTTCTCTGCGGACGTTACCTGAGTCTCTCGTCGGTGCAGCCGCAAAGGGGAGAGCACAGCCAAGTGGACATAAAAGCCCACATGGAGGAGAACATTTGCTGCACACATGCACTGAAGTTGGGCTCAAGATGCAAAATGAAAAAAACTAGAAGTGACTGGAGGAGTTAGTTGACACAGGTTGAATGTACTTCAGCAGCACAAATTTCAGCATAAGTAGGAAGTTTATGATTGAAATGATACAATGCCTCACAAGTTTTCATGCCATGATGGAAATAGCATTTGATCTAATCCTGTTTCTCTTGAAATTAACAATTATCTCCCTTGTTTTCTTCACATTTAAGATGAGATGATTGTTCCCACACCATGACACAAAGCGGTCCACCAGCTCTCTGTATTCAGCCTCTTGTCCATCACTGATAAACCCGACACCTGCAGAGTCATCTGAGTATTTCTGGAGGTGACAAAAGTCAGACTTGTGCTGGAAGTCTGAAATGTAAAGAGAGAAAAGGAATGGTGAGAGTACAGTGCCCTGTGGTGCTCCTTGTTCGACACACAGTTCTTCACTCTTACAAGCTGGAGTCTGTATAGCCACTTTTCCACTAGCCCCCCTCTAACTGGTCTGGTCTTGCTGTGCCGAGCCGGAGCGAGACCTCCACTAGCAGATCTGGGTTCTGCCCAGATGTTCTCAGATTTTTGCACCTACTTCAGGGGTAGTACTAGCAGCACTGATCAGGGTACAGCAACAAAACAATTTGATTGACAGCTGACCGCATTCATTGATTGGCTCGTGATTTACACCACTGACAACTGCAAACAGCATTCAGCTTTTAGAGGTTAACATTTAGCTGTGGACCGTACTGGGCAGTTTAATTATGAGTTTAATCAAGAGCAGTGATAGGAACACATGCGGTAACTTTTGCAGCAGACTGACCGTGAATTAGCAGCAGTGCTAGCAGCTTGTTTCTCTGAAACATGAAAAATAAAGAAGAGAGAAATGGTGCACATGTGGTCAGCTTTCTAACAAAGCTGCTATTTTGCATTGACAGTGTGAAACACCGGAACTACATGATATTAACTTGTGATTTAAATGCCATTTTTCATTTGGATGAAAAAATAATAATAAAGCTTATGTATGGCTATTGGTTTACATCTTTTAATGCAAAAAGATGTAAACCTAAGTCCAAAAGGTTGCACATATAAAACGATAAAGTGCCAGAATGTAATTATATATACAGCAAAATAATCAGCTGATATGAGCTTTAATCATTATGTTTGGGCATCAATGGATTTCTATAAAACAAAATTAAATATCTGGGTTTACTTTGGTCTATAAGAACCAGAACCTCAAGGTTCTCCATTACAAGTGTCGCTGCAAACATCAGTGGAGAGTTGGCCACAACTGCTGCAGCTCACATCCTGCCCACCATAGTGAGGAACAGATCGGATAATGGAAAAGTTCACTACCTGGGGTAAAACTGAACCACACATTAATCGGTTTGTGTGCAACTTGCCAGTGGAAAAGCAGCTTTTGTTAGGTAGTCATACATCTAGATGATTGTTAAAGTGTCCACCTGTGTCTCCTGGGTTTCTGCATATAATAGTGGGTTTGTTGAAGGTGTATGATGGTGTCTCAGTCTCCATGGCGATAAGCAAACTGCATGTGGTCTTGATTGCTTACAGAGATGGGCCAGCACAAGTCTCTCCAAGACCTTCATCATGTGGGTTGTCACGGCAACAGATTTATAGTTATTGATAACTGATGGGTGAGTTTTCTTCTGTACTGGAACCAACCAGGGTATCCTATATAACAACAGAACCTTCTCTTGGGTCAAGTTAAGTTTGAAGAGATGTTGCTCTGCAGCTTCAGAACTTCAGGACTCTGGAGCGGACACCATCTGAACTTGTAACCTTGTACTGGTTCAGCCTCTCCAGCTGTGGTGCAATTCTAGAACTAAATAAATTTTTTAGGTAGAGAAGCTTGATTTTTTTATGGCTTATCTGTCTCATATTATACTGTCGGGAAATAGTGACACTTTAGTTTTTCTGTGTATTCCAGTAGCCAATAAGTGATATTTTGTTGCCAAATTCACTGTTGTGTCTTTGTGCAATAACAATAAATTAAGTCCAAGTCTAATTTATTGAATGGGTCGGTAAAACCCAATGAAATTTGGAGCTCAAAATGTAAAAGTTCACTGGGTGCGAACACATTCGCAAGGCATCAATTTCACCAAATACAAGCATGGATTTCTCAGAGTGACGATGCTCCACCACAACTCATAAAAACCTAATATTTAAATCCACACAGCAGCGATATGGAGCCGGAGGATTTTCTATCAATTCTGCAGAGCCAGTATTATTCACTGCTATGGTCATTCATCATTACCATGAAGCCTGTCAATTCTATTGGGCATTAACCATAAATGCATTTTGGAGAGCAGAATGATTGGAAATTAATTTCTGACCTAATTCCTCCAGTTGGAAACGGCAGCCTGGCTCATCGCTGCTCTCTCCAATTCCAGATGGCGTGACAGCATGAATCAAAATATGCTTCAAAAAATGCTGCTGAGAGTTGGAAAGTTGTCCTGGGCTAAACTCTAAAAGCCAGAGGTCAAAATGCCACTTGATCTGGGCCCTATGATTGAGTCCAGTATCAAATCAAAGAGGGCGTGTGACGAAGGGACTCTAAACACTGGAGCTTCATGTCAACAGTTGGCCCATTCCCTAAACTGATCCCTGGTTAGGGATCAGATTTATTTACACATAGAAACATAGAAAAGGAAAGTGGAAGAGATGCAAAGAGTCTGAGCTGTCAGGACCACTTATACCAGATTGGTGGGTAAATACAGACTCCCCAGCGGGCTTCCGGGGGGAAGACAGCTATGGCCCGTCAATGGGCTGGCCACTACACAGGACAGCACAAAGAAGCTGCTTTCTACTTCATTAGCACCAGTGACGTACGGTGAGGTTCATAGCTGGTGAGGCACTGATTTAATCATAATCAGAATTATAAATATAGACTCCCTGCATGTTATTGTTTACATATGGAGATTTCGTGCATGTTGACAACGTAGGAGGGCAAAAAGACGTACATTCTTTTACGTCATCCATAGCCGCGCTGCTGTCTAGAATAATTCCATTAACTCAATGAAGCTTAGAAATGTAGGTATTATTAATTTAGTGTTATGCTACACAGTAAAGGGAAAACCCGTTGAAGTACAACTCAAAACCACTTCTTTCTAGCTCTCTCTAGCGGCCAAGCTACAAGCGGACTCGTGGCCATAGCAACTGACACCAACGCAACTTTATGTTTCAGGATTCAACACCCAAAACACTCAATTATTTCCAACATAAAGAACAGAACATTCAGTACGTTGCAGTAGCTTGTTTTTAGACTAAAAGTTTATTTTGTGATTATTAATAAGTGATTGCTGTGGTAGATTATAGCTACCATTGCTATTAGCTAATCTAAGCGGTTTGCAGGTTATTTCTTTTCTGCGCTCTTTTACACATACTCTCTGCAAAATGCACATTTCATTAAAAAACTTTTAAAAAATGTATTGCCATCTTACCTTTACTTAGAGATGAAGTCCATGCGCTGCTCATTCTGCACAAAAATATCAGTTCATCCAAAACCAAGTCTATCCTTGACATAAGTTGAGAAAAGGTGGCAAAAAACGCAGGTAAGGCAGTTTCTAGCAGGACATCCAGAAAGCCTGCCTTTCAAACAAAGCCTACCACTTTGTTTGAAAAGAGGGGCTACCCTTCTGTCTCGTAGTTTGAAGCAAACTTTTCAACTCTGCCGCACCTGCCACCCCTGACCACACGTCACTGATTAGCACCCATGTCCACAGCCATCTGTCAGGTGACATATATATCAGATTTAGCAGACAGTAAGAAAGGAGGTTGTGGAGAAAAAAATAAAACTCACACACAAGACTTCTAACTCTTCAATTGAAATATATGGCTAACTGTTAAAATCATAAGCATGCCATTTAAGATTTGATGGCGAGCCACTTAAACCTTCTGACTGACGCCATTCTTCATACTCAGCCAAGACTAATGCTATTCGTGCTGTCAATCAAGCCATTAAGTTTAATTTGGCCCATTTATCTACAACTGCGCTCCTGACTGAGATGCTCTGTCTCAGAAAGCAGAGCAAGGGGAAGAAGACGACGAGGGGAAAATAAAGGCCTGAAAGTCAACCAGTCAAAAAGAAAAAGAAAAAAAGAGTGTGGCAGTGGAACCAGCGAGACCCATATACTGAGATTTTAGCTTTAGTACTCAACTGTCACTGGTTCGAGGCCCAGCCAGATTACCTTTGTTCCACCCGCTCTCACAATCTGCTTTCTGGTCACTGTCAATCAAAGGCCGAAAAAGGCTTTTTTTTTTAAAAACGGCCAGTCTACTGAGTTTTTATGCGTGCCACCCACATACAGAGGACTCGATCCTTGACGAGGCTGTCGAGGGTTTGAGTCCTGGCCGTTCACCTTTGTCACAGCCCACTTTTCCACTTTTCTGTCACCTCGGAAGCCACAAGAACCAATAAAATCCTTAAAAAAAAATAAAATAAATAAAAACATGACCAACTGCCAATTCCTCCTGCAAAACTGTGCAATTTGTTTAATCTAAATCTGCTCTTAATCTGATGACATTGGAGTGCTGCACTTCCGCTGTAGCAGTGAACACCATGCCAGCTTATACAGAGGATGTGCAGGAATTAGCAGGCCGTTATGAGACCCGGATGGCACAATTAAACACCCTGGCAAGAGTTCACAAGTTATCACCTTTGTGTGGAGAAAATGCTAAAAAGGCCTCTGGTTTTTGGCATCACAGAAATTAAGCAGAGATTGGATAAGAATGGGAAGTGACTGCAAAAAGAGAAGCTGAATTAAAAGCGGAATGAAGATGGTGGGCGAAGACGAGCTGCGTTCCAACTCGCCACACGCTGCACTGTGAATGCTGGTGTTTAAACTGGTCGAGAGGCAGAGCAGAGATGAAGCGATTAGAGAAGGTCCAAGTTCAATCCCTGATAATGGTAAGTGTCTTTTCTGCTAAAAGAGCCTGAGGCACTTTAACAAAGAGTGCAGCTCACGAACAAATGAGCTGATGTCTCACTCTCCCAGAGGAGGACAGCCGGGGAAAAAAAAGCTCAAGTGTCCTTTTGAGTATTAATGTGTTGTTAGACAACCTGACAGTGTCTGGCACATACAATAGCTGGCTATATGGTATCTGTTTACAGCACTGCATATGAATTGCTTCAAGTGTGTCTAGGGAAGATTTCAAGTGATAGTCCTGGCAACAGAAAAATGGTGAAAACACAGACGGGCAACTGTGGCTCTGTGGATAGAGTAGTCATTTTCCTCATGTCACATGTCAACGTGCCCCTGGGCAAGGCACTTAACCCCAACTTGCCTACTGATCTGCGTATTGGTGGATAAATGTGTGTGTGTTTGGGAGTGCAAATGGGTGAATGTGACTCCAGTCAG